TCAGCGAGCATGACATAACGTGCCCATGTTCTTGTTAAACTATTGTGTACTTATTTAAGATCTTAAGTAGATAAGTACGTGTCTGAGTAATTAAGTGTAATTAATTAAAATGCCCGAGCGTGAGTTCGTAGGTCAGCAAGTAAGTAAATGTTAAGAAAGTGCGTTTATAGGTATTTGCTTAATTGCTAAAATATGTAGTTATTTAGGTAAGTATAATCATGAATAGTTAGATAAGTGAGTGTACAAGTAATTTCTTATGTATGTTGGTAAGTAAATAGCGTCATCTTATTGCTCTCCACCTGTCATTGCTGTGCTAAACTTCATAGTTAAAGCTTCAGCATGTTTTTCTGTATATATTTGAATTCAGTAGTTAACTACTGAGATAGCTAATCATGCATATTCTTCCGCAGTTACAGTGAATTATTGTTTTAAAGTGTAGTAAATTATATATAGTTATTTATTTACGGAGCTGGGAAATTGCTTATTTTCTTAGTCATATGCAGCTAGTCAGTATTATTTTCACATACATTATGTGCATAAGCATTTGTCTGTTTTTTTGTTGCATTCTGAATTTTTATTGTAACTGTGGTTTTTTGTGGTTATCCGCTTATTCGGCTTCGTCGAGGTTTGGAAGGTATATTTTTCGCCAATGTTGAGGCACAGTGTTGTTTGGCAATGTTTCTCAGTCGGGTACTTACCTTTCAGATTTGTTAGTCTGTTGATGTTAGGCTTATGGTGTATTGGACTTAAGTCATGCTCTTGGTATATCTGGCTCAACTTTGATTAAAGCTTTCTTTAGATAATTTTGAATATTAAAGCTTTTTTAATTTTTACAGCAACCAAGCATCAAGTGCATCTCAAAGCACAAATCTTTTCAAACATTTACTTTATATTCTTGATCGCATTCAGACCATATGATAAGTTATTTTTAGACCCGAAGAAGTAAATGTCAAGACGCAAGGCAAAACCCTTACCATTGAGGCGAAACATCACCATAAAGATCAAATGGGAGAATCTAAATTCGAATTTTCGCGAGAGTACACCCTGCCCGACGGAGTGAAGCCAGAGGAAGTCACTTGCAAGTACTTGGCTGACGGAAGACTCACAATCGAGGCGCCATGTACTGCTCCAGCTCTTCCGGCTTCCGCTGACAAAGATATACCAGTTAAGCACGAATAGTTTGGTTTCGGCGAGTTGTCATTATTTTATTGCGACCATTTCGAACGTTTACAAATGTGTTCTAGAATTTTCGATAAATTTTTTTTTTCAGTGAGAGCATTTGTCTCGCCGTTCATGCTGTTACTGTCACAAACATCATATTACTGAATCGGTGTACATGTATTTTGCCACCATCACGTTTATGCCGTTTTGCATATCCAGAATCGGTATTTTATCCTGGCCTTCTCTTGTTTTGATATGATGCTTTTCTTGTACATTAGGCAGAAGACTGCTAAGTCTGTTTGGAATTCTGCAAACCGTAATTACCCCATGTCTGGTCATGAAATGTCGAACTGTTTCATTTAAGATTATAGACGTGGCGCACTGAGTGATGCTTCATCAAACACAGTACAAGAACATGAATATCAGTGGTGAAACTCTGCCCGATAGTGAGCGCGGCCGGATATCTGGGCGTAGTACTTCCTTCAGAATTTTTCCTTTACTTTAATCTCCTAAATCTCTAAATTTTTTTACTTTCCTTTATTTAAATCAAGGCAGTTCTCAAGAAGGTCAGGATGGCATCTTGTTATTTGTCGCCTGCTAATAGTCGATTGCCAGCAAGATTAGTGCAAAGATTTTTTGACACAGGTTGTTGCCTATAGTCACTTCTCTACGACTAAACGAAGCGCAGCCTGTCTGTAAACTAACTGTCTCAGACATTGAGACTGGATGGGACATCCTTCGAAACTGGCAAATTACGTGGTCGATTCTTTAATCAACGCATTTGGCATACGCTACGCTGCAACTCGCCGAAATGATATCCTGGACAATGCCAGTCACGAATTGAATGCCTCATTATCCAGATGTCTGTTTCTATGAACTTTTTTCCGGTTAAACATCATGACATCTATGCAAACCGCCCCTGCAGAATTTTACGGAAAATCCGTCGTTCCGCTTATTGCCTGCTGTTTAATTACTCATGTTCCGGAGTGCTGAATGGCTTGGCCCCATGTAACCGTTTTACAGGATCAACTTTAATACAGGATAGTTAAAAGAGTACGGCTTCAATCATCTGTAGAAAGTATGATTGGAACTTTAAAAAATAGCCATTATAACCTAAGTCTTTGCTGTTATACCACTGGGACATTTCTTAGCAGCTTTTTGGATAACTTTTCAGTTATGGCTGCTTCAACTAATCTGAAATATTTTACAGAAAATTCTGGGCATCATAACTGAGAGAATATTTATAGGATCACCCAATAAATAAAGTGAGATAGTAGGAATATCTTAAGCTGTTTGCAGAACATCTCTGGTGTGTGATTTCCGCTGCTTGCTTGCGATTTTACAGCACTTGCTGTAAGGCAATGGTTACTGCATTGTAGAAAGAAGTATTCGTCTTTAAGGGCAGAGTTGCCTTGATTTTTTAGGTTGCACGATGATCTCGCGGCCAACGCCTGCTGTGTCCACTCTCACAAAATTAAGTAGAAACCTGCGTAAAGTTTAAATTTTATTCGTTTTTTAACGTTGATCGGTAGCCAATCGAGTCTAGCGGCAGCCAAATACGGTGCGACAGCAACTTTTGTCCAATACAACAAAATCAGACAGATAAGAGAATTCAACAATTGACGGTAAAACGACAATAAAGTAAAACGGAAGCGAATAAAATCACATGAAATGTAAAACTATCCTTATTGATACTGAGAACATCTAAATTTATAGTACACCACTTCTTTGGCGCAAAGGAATTTCTGGCAACACTGAATAAAGTCATTTATTTAAGAGAGCATTTCCTTCGACGGTAACCACGTGATTAGCGGTTGCAACGACGACGTCTCGTTTATTTTTATTATTGTCTCGTTTCAGGAGATCAGGCAGAGCTGCATACACATCCGACAGCTTAGGGAGATCATACTGGAAACGTGGCACGTAACGAGCAAATAGGTGCACTAGAGACATGAAGAACAGCGTGGCATAGGTCCAGCTAATGATGGTCATCGCCGTCATAAACAATCCGATCTGCACGTAGGCATAGACGTTGCATGGTAGCACGGTCAAGCCGGCGATTAGAGTCGTCAGCATGGCCATGAAAACCGGGCTACCGGACTTCAGCATGGTCACTTCAACCAAACACCTACCTTCGGCAGAGGCGTAGAGAAGAACGGCAACGGCGTAATGCAAAGTGAAGTCGAA